CGATTGACTCTTGAATTGAACATTCAAAAAACTAAGATTGTAAATTAAGTAGGTTATCAAAAAAAGATTTATAATTACTTCCATCCTAACATTATTTTAGGTTTCTCTCTATTTTATTTCCGAGCGTACAATTCACCATTGTTTAATAGTTTGCATAAATTATCAAGACGTTTAATATAGTTTTTGAGATTGTGGAGAAGATTTGTAGCTCAGATGGATGATTATGATGGAGTTTTATTCTCTGAGCTGGATGTTTTGGTTATGGAACTTTCATCGTTCATCGAGGTCTACAGGACAAGCTATGAACCACATGTGGATAAATTCAAACACTTCACTTTTATCTGAAGTTTGTGCTGATGATGTCGTTCAGAAGAACGATGAAAGCTCCACAACTAATCTATCCAGCTCAGAGAACAAAACTCCATCATAAACGTTTAACATGTGTTTGAATGTTGTTGTTGCTGATTTTTTGTAAACTTTTTCTTGTTATTTAATGGATGAAACCAGCTTAGTGAATTATGTGTACTTTTGATTGAATGCACTGTACTTTCATTGAAAAAAAAACCCAATCGGTTAATCAAGATGCCCATGGTACTTTGTTAAAAAAGGGCTTTTCAGAAAAAAAACTTGTTTAGTTTATTATATTAAGAATAATGTGTAAACTTATTGTTTGGTTTTATTGTAACAATCCCTTATATTTTTTTGATTGAGATCATGAACCGATTGATGTTAGACCACCATTGAAAACCTGAAAGCACTGGACGGCCAACTCGTCCTATTGTGGGACTCCTCAGCAGTGCGCATCCACGATCTCGCTGGCCGGATTCGAACCTAGAGCCTTCAGTCTCGCGCGCGAACGCTTAATCTACTGGACCACTGAGCCGGTGGGCATCCAATTGTGTTGATGTCTAACCTCAACCAATCCACGAAGTTGCGCGATCATATTCCATTTTACTGAGGTAGACACCTGTTTCTACCCGACACGGATTAGCTTCACTAGTCAAGGCTTCACACCAGAACTCCAGGTTCTCAATGATGGTCTTACATCAATCGGTTCATGATCTCAATCAAAAGAAACTTAACAATCTCCAGAAACCCTAAACTAATCACTTCTTGTATGTCGAGGTTATTCAGGTAAATTCTATTTACATTGATCTAGGTAATATGGTGAATGGTGTTGAAGGCGTTAGATCCCCAGAACTCACTTGGAAAAGGACCTAATTTTGTAATTTTATATAGAAAATTTGAATTTCTTTGTTTCCGCGCCAAAAGCGCTCTTTTCACCTTCATGTCGTATTTCTATGCTATTGGTCACTTGTATATTTTAGTATGCTATATTATAACTCTCCCCAAGGACGGTTTTGTGCTGTAGATATATTTTTTGATCTTTGTTGTTATCCCTCGTTTTCTGGCTTTTCGCGAAACATACTTCCCCATTCCATGCTTGGACTTCTTCCTCTAGTTAGCGGGGCTGAGACGCATCGTTTAGCTAGCCTATTGGTCTTTGGTCACTGAGTCTTTGTTACGTTCACAGATTAAGTGAACTCGTAACCGCTTCAAACCTAGCAAATGGCAAGTTTTTATGGACAAGCGATTCTTAAAATGAACATCTAAAATGAAGTATATTGGTTCACAACTGACTAAAGAAGAAACTGTAGCATTTAGTTTTTTATCATTTTTTGTTATTAGCAATTGGAAGGATAATTTTATAATTTTTTAAAATCACAAACTGATATCGATTACACAATGTTTAAAAACCAGGAAGTACCGAGTAATTGTTTCATATGAGTAAACGCTTTCTCCAAAGCACAAATTTGTGCCTTCACATTAGGGCTCGAACCTAAAGCCTGAAAGAGGTCTTATGGAGTACACTAAACATTTATACCATTAAAATTGTCATCTTATTGTGTACTTCTCTGACATCAACCGGTTTACGATAATGGTCAAGTGTTTTCTATTTATAAGTAACTGCCTCATAATCAACATAGTTGAACTTCATTGGTTACTGTTTCTCACTAGAGTCTATATTCTTTTTTATTAATCTGTCTAGTCTTACTGTTTGTATAGGAAAGTGCTGGATTTAGAATAATTTAAATTAGACGACTCAATTCAAAGTATGAAATATTACTGAAGTGATTCAATAGAGCTGTTTCAAAGCTAAAAAATGGTGATCGAGGTTAATACTGTACTAATCTTTGAAGTACTTTCGTGATAACATGTTAAAATCTGTGTTTAGCCAGTAATTTAGATAAGTAAATCTGATATAAGTATTTCAAAAACTACATCAGTGTAATAGGTAATGTTAATGACAAGGAATCACCAAGTAGATATGCGCAACATAAATCATTCGATTTGTGTGAGGGTCCGGATACTACCCGGGTGCCCAAACCGAAGCAGGTGGTTTTCATAAGGGGTGACATCCATAGACTTTGACCTAAAGGTGATATCCAAAAGGCAGTGGAGCCATGTCAGCAGATATAGTCCCATGGTAACTGGTCACCAATAATTGGTTCATATTCCATTCGTTCCTTCGGAATACTGGAGTCCATTTGAACCATTTGTTTGTAATCAGGGTTTTTCAACTCCCCTAGATGGATTGTCTTTGTTTACAAACTCGGTTAAAGCGCTGGATATTGGCATTTCGTCCTCTCAACTTCGTAAGAACACCCGTGTTGCGAGAAGGCAGTGAGTAGGACTTCCCTGACAGTGGTCATGTGAGAGCATTTTGAGAGGGCGAACTGACTCTCCCTACTCACGGATGCATCAGGGCATTGGGGGGCAAATATCGAATAAATAATTTTCGATATTTCATTTAATCGGTCATTCATAAAATAAATCTGTTATAATACCAATGTAGCAAAAAAATTTTTTTTTATTTAGCAGAGTGTTACTGAGGTAGAATTTCGAATAACAAGGAGGATAGACACATCAAACTGATAGGCGTCTACCAAAAAGAAATCTAGATTATTGATTTTCCTAGATTATTCGAAATCACACGAATTACACCGTTATAAAAACTCAGTTTGCATTTTATTTATAAATCTTTGTCATTATCTAAAATTTCATAAAATAATGATTGTTATCATTCAGTGGAAGTTTAATAACAGGCGTAAGTAATGAAGTAAGTAATATGTATGTGAATGGATTTTTGTGAATATTATAGTAATTTCAGTAGTTCAGATCATGATTCAGTTGAAGCTAGACCACCATGGAAAACCTGAAATCACTGGACGGCCGTTTCGTCCTAGTATTGGGCTCCTCAGCAGTGCGCACCCACTTTCCCACCTTGAGAGATTCAAAACTGGGAAATATCAGTCTCACGCGCGAGCGCTTAGCCACTAGACCACTGAGCTGGCCGTCCGGCTGGCATCCAACAGTGACTGGCTTCAAGTGGTAGATCCTGGAGTTCTACTGAGAAGCAGTGACCAGTGGAGTTCAGTCGGGTCTATTGTGAGATAGTAACTCACTGAAGACAATGATGGACGGTGGAGCGATTTCGTGGATTAGTTGAAGTTAGACATTAACACAATTGGATCCCGGCCGGCTCAATGGTCTATAGGTTAAGCGTTCGCGAGTGAGACTGATAGGTCCTGGGTTCAAATGTCTCAAGGCGGGAGCGTGGATGCGCACTGCTAAGGATTCCGGTACTGGGATGAAACCTAGATTATTGGTTTCCCTAGATTATTCAACATCACACGAATTACACCTTTATAAAGACTTTCAATGTGTATATTAACCCGTTAATTTAATAAATACTTTACATATCAATCTTATTATACTTATTATAAGCTTTCAAAACAATTTTGGTGGAGTTTTGTTCTCTGAGCTGGATGGTTTAGTGGTGGAGCTTTAATCGTTCTTCTGAACGACATCATCAGCACTCCACCAAAGTCATCCACCTAAGCTACAAATCTTCTCCACCATTTTAAAACAATGTTTTCCTAATTGATTACAACTTTCTAAGTTTGTCATAAACTCCGCCTGGAGTGCCTCCGGGGGCTACTGCCGGTCCCAAGCCCGGATAAAGGAGAAGGGTTGGGCATGGGGTTAGCGCCCCCATCCCGTAGAAAACTAACTCGCTAAAAAAACGCTAACCAGAAAAAAGTTTGTCATAACATTCATTCCTGGAATTTTATTCTTAAGATTTTAAACATTGAGATTAAAGTATTTCAAAATGAATACAATTTTAACAACAAACAAAATGGCTAATTAAACAATCCTTTAAGTCACAGAACATTCAATTCTAATAACGAACACAATAAGACAAAATGACCGTTCAGTACTTCCAAGTTTCCCATGGTGATCGAGTTTTATTGAACTGATGATCTCAACTATTATTAATACAATTCTCTTTGAATTAATGAATCTGATTAAAAAAACATCGAAGACAGTATATAAGTTTAATGATAAGCCATATTGTCAATCAATTAATCTATATTGATCGTTTATGTAAATATGACCAGTTTCCAAATTATAATAAAAAACTGTGTGAACTTACTTATTCAAAGGTAAACATATTTAGTTGACAACACAATAGAAGTAGTCATCCTCTGATTGAAAGATCACATAGAATCTAACTTAAACTATTCATATTATCATTAGCAATGATATCGTCCTATTGCGAACTTATCAATTGAAGTCATTTATGTTTCAGTGTTAATGTTATACACTAAGACTCATACCAACTTGGTCGATAGCATTCGATCTGCACTAAGAAGGCGTTGACATACATGACATTGATCATAATTTAGTGATCAATCAATTGTGACTACATCACAGTCCGACAGGGGGGCGGTCGGATAGTTCAGTGGTAATGTCTCTAACTGTGAGGCTGAGTGACACGGGATTGAATCCGTCAAGGGGCATCAGTTCCTTCAAGATAACAGTTACAGCTTAATGATGGGTGCCAAGTAGCACGAAACCCGGATCATCTGGGTTTCCTGTTGACTACCTCCAACCACCATATTAATTCATACCTAACACTTGTTGTTTCAACTTACCATTTCACCAATAGTTCCTTGTATTTCAGGATTATTTACAGCTAAAATAACATCGAATGGAATAGCCGCCAATAAATCAAGAAAGAACCAACCACGTAAATAATTGATAGCAATGGCTTTTAAATGATATACAACTTGTCCACTTTTACTAACATATGTAGTCCAAAAATTTAATATAATATCTGTTTAAAAGAAAGAGGAGATATATATACAAATTGAACTGAAATTGTATAAACAATATGACAAGTAGCGGTTTTTATTTTATGCCCAATTAAGGTATATACAATTATTAAATCAATACGGGTATTTGTGATGATTGTAGTATTGTAACAATTAACTTGATTAGTCAATCTAGGTTAGACCATCATGGAAAATCTGGAAGCACTGAACGATCGATTCGTTTTAGTGTAAGACTCTTTAGCAGTGTGCATGCACGATTCCGCATGTGAGAATCGAATTCATGACCTTTGGTCTTGTGTGCAAATGTTTAACCTCTAGACTACTGAGTTAGCGTCTAATGGTGTTACAATAGTTTTACCGAATAAGTAAAATAATAGAACTGATTGAAAAATTTTTTCATTACCTGATTTGACGAATAAAAACCAAAAATTGTCAGGAACAATAGGAGAACAGTATTCATCATACTTTTATGAATAAAATGAACTACAATCAAGACTTTATAAGCAAAGATGGATAATGGATAGTAGTGGAATCGCGAGCTGGATGTACTCGCATCTCAGAGTGTTTATCTACTTAATGGGGTTAAATGAAGTTTACATAGTAGTATGAAGAATCAAGACAATGATTTACAATTGATGGTAAGGGTTAGGATTTAGATTTATGGTTTATCACAAATTGACATCAACTAAAATGCCAAGACACTATTTGGATGAATGGGTGAGTGAATTTCGCGCCAAAATCTAAGACCTGTTATCCTAAATCTGATAAGTTCGTCCGTAAATTATAGTCTCACCGTTTCCTCCAACAAATTCGTTCAAACTTCTTCAGGATAACAATCAAAATAACGTTTTTAAATCATCCAACTCTAAATAATCTAAAGATATTTCAGTCTACTTTCTTTAAAGGTAGTTCATTTCATTGTCATTATCAAGTTGATCTTTAATTATAGAACTAAACAAACTACATATTTCAATATCATCAAATTTCGGTACAGGGTTGTGAAGATTAATGAGTTTTTGATTGAGATCTTGAACTGATTCATGTTAGATCAACTATTAAAGACCTGGAAGCACTGAATGCGCCACCATCTTCCATTGTAATGAGGTAGATACCTGTTTCGACCCGACACGAAATAACTCCACTAGTCATGGTTTTTCCCTAGAACTCCGAGAATTCCTTCACGAAGCTAGTGACTAGTGAGCATATGTTAATTATCAATATAGGGTTGTGCAGATTATTAAGTTTTTTGATTGAAATCATAAACCGACTGATGTTAGACAACCATTGAAAACCTGAAAGCACTGGTTTGAATCCCGCATGAGGGATCATGGATGTGCACTGTTGACGAGTCCGACAATAGGACGAAACGGTCATCCAGTTCATTCAGGTTTTCAGTGGTTGATCTAACATCAATGAGTTCAAGATCTCAATCAATAACTTAATTATCAATCAACTATTTATTTCGTTGTTTTGTTTAAATTTCAATGAACAAACATTAAACTTTCGTGATGATAATTAATTAAGTTGAAATGAATATACTACTTTTGTAACTGTTTTTAAATTTAATAATTTTGTTTTTCATTGAAACAGTTATATTTAATAATAATTAATTTAGATTACGTGATTAATGAAAATTATGTTCTAATGTATGATTAGAGATTTTCTTTCACAGTTTATATATCTTCTTTCCTCGTTTGTAGAGATGATGTATAATAGTTTTTATAAGCCTTATATCTGACTCCAGTTTGATCATTAGTCATTGCTATTGAGATATATATATTATATGTATGTCGCCAATCCTCGTAATATTACTATCGACTTGATTCGCGTTAATCCATAATGGAATTAAAATAAAAGTCGAATACGGGAATAGATTTTTTGAATGTGTATATTTTGTACAATTGATGATCGAAATAAACGACTGAAGAAAGCGAAGAGAAGAGAGAGAAGTGGACAGAACAACACTACGTAAGCTTCTTTGATACTACAGAGCGCTTGATGATAATGATGGATTAAACTGCAAAATCGTGCATGGAGAACAGCTCACAGACTCGTTCGATGTAAAGACCGGTGTAAGTAAGGTTGCTTACTCTGACCCTTTCTCTTTCTACTGGTGATCGACTGTATTATGAAAACGTCAACATCTGGAGAGAAGTATGGCATACAGTGAGTATCTAGGATGCAGTTGGATGATCTGGATTTTGCAGATGATCTGTCCCTCCCATCACACACGCAACAACAAATTCAGGAGAAGACCGATGTAGCAGCAGCCTCAGCAGCAGTAGGTCTCAACATACACAAAAAGAAAAGCAAGAGCAGTATATCTACAACTGAAGAACATCTGGAACTCAAAACAACGGCCAACCAACACCAAGGTCAGAATTTTCAGTGCAAATGTCAAGACAGTTCTTCTATATGGGGCGGAAACTTGCAGAACTACGAGCGCCACCATCCAGAAAATACAGGTGATTATCAACAGTTGTCCACGCAAAATACTTCGGATCCCTTGACCAGACAAATATCAGCAGCAACTTACTGTAGGAGAGAATAAACTGGATCTCAGTGGAGGAAGAAATCAGGAAGAAGCGCTGGGATTGGATAGGACACACATTGAATAAATCACCCAATCGCGTCACAGGGCAAATTCACACTTGGAATCATCAATGCCATTGAAGAAGAGAGAAACCAAAGAACACATTACACCGAGAAATGGAGACAGAATGAGAGGAATGAACAACAATTGGATGGAAGAAGAAAGGAAGGCGTAGGACAGAGTGGGTTGGAGAATGCTGTTCGACGTCCTATGCTTTATTGGGAGTAACAGAAGTCTCAACACAAAGTCTTTCAACAAGTTTCCATTTCTAATTTCTTAGCCGATCCTGACAATAAGTATTGACTGATCTCCAGTTAAAAATTAGTAGTGCAGTAATTCGATATCTAAACAATGTAAATTCTCTTTGATGCATATTGCCAGTATTCATAATGTCACTGATTGTACGTTTTTGTAAGTTGTACAGCGAAAAGTCGTGAACTTTTCATAAACGCACTTGAATAGGTTATGCAATTAGTTGACATAATGATGCGTTAAAACAAAACAAAAAACTCAAATAAATTGTTGAATTATCTAGATGTGAGGAACAGGTAGCCTAGATATTCAAGCAGGCCGCCAAGGAATATGTTGCACATTCAGAAATACCGTAAATAATCTAACATTATTAAATTTATTTCCGAAGATCAGATTTTTCAGTACAATTGCTAGATAGTTTATATCAGAAGAGGTTTTGTGGAGATTTCAGTAATTTCAATAGTTGAAATCACGAGTCAATTGAAGCTAGACTACGATGGAAAACCTGGAAGCACTGGACTCCGTTTCGTTCTAGTATGGGACTCCTCAGTAGTTTGCATCCAATACCAGGACGAAACGGCCGTCCGGATTTTCCATGGTGGTCTAGCTTCAATTAACTCATGATTTCAACTATTGAGATAATTTATAGTTGATAAAATAATATAAAACGTGACAATTTTGATGCATACTTTAAAGTTTAAAGTTCGACCTTTTTAGTGATCAGCAAATCCGCTTAACACTTTAGTCACGATTCTCTATTCACTTTCTGTAGTTGATGATATACAAACTTAACAAGACAGCATTTTATCATCCATGGTAGAGTGTTCCAAGAAAGCTTCACTTTTACATGCTGTACAATAGAATAATTACACTACAAGTTGAATCAGTAATAGCAGTACGTGCTATTTGCAATAATCACTAAATTGATATTAGAAATATAAAATAATTCAAAATGGCTTCTCGCACTATAAAGAGAGGAGAATAGCCTAAACGTTTGACCTAGTATTAAATCCCTCTGTCTCCGACAGGAAAGAGGGCCCGAATATTCATCCAACCTGGACTGTTTACCAAAACAACTAAATCTTACCCTATTTATTTATCATACAATCTACACACACACTGTCGGTTTCAGGGGCCGCTACATTACATTAAAAATGCTTACATTTGTCATACCCATATTCTAATATACAGATTAATACAGTGACATGTAACATAAATTCACCTCGACCAAAACTTACTTGCCATTGACATATTTAGGTCTATTACGATTTTGATTGTACTAGAAATGTCCTGCACTGTCTCCTTTGTACTATTTAAACTTGTGTTAGTTTGATGTCGGTTATTTATTTACTCTGAAGAAATGGCTTACATTAAGTCACAAAACGTCAGAAATATAATATCACAAAAAACATTCGTTATTAATTATGTTAAACGTTATTATCTAGTTAAGAACCACGTGTTTATATAGTTATAAAAATTCATTAGATATATTCCAGGTTGTAGAGTTGATGATGATCGTCCGAGTAATCCATATACAATTCCTTCAGTACAGTAGTCCAAAGTGTTACTTTTGAGATATTCAAATTGTGTCTAACAATATAGGAATGAATAATCTTGATGAAGTTTTGTTCTCTGAGCTGGATGTTTTGATCGTGGAGCTTTCATCATTCTTCTGAATGACATCACCAGAACAAGTTTCATGTACTTACTTACTTACTTACGCCTGTTACTCCCAGTGGAGCATAGGCGGCCGACCAGCATTCTCCAACCCACTCTGTCCTGGGCCTTCTTTTCTAGTTCTATCCAATTCTTGTTCATTTTTCTCATGTCTATCTTCATTTCTCGGCGTAATGTGTTCTTTGGTCGTCCTCTTTTCCTTTGGCGTTGAGGATTCCATGTGAGGGCTTGTCTTGTGACGCAGTTGGATGCTTTCCTCAATGTGTGTCCTATCCACATCCAGCGCTTCTTACTCATCTCTCCTTCATCTCGAATCTGGTTTATTTTCTCCTAAAGTAAGTTGTTGCTGATGGTGTCCGGCCAACGGATCCGAAGTATTTTGCGTAGACAATTGTTAATAAACACTTGTATTTTCTGGATGATGGCTTCCGTAGTTCTCTAGGTTTCTGCCCCATATAGTAGAACTGTCTTCACATTTGCACTGAAAATTCTGACCTTGGTGTTGGTTGACAGTTGCTTTGAATTCCAGATTTTCTTCAATTATAAATATACTCCTCTTGCTTTACCGATCCGTGCCTTTACATTTGCATCAGATCCACCGTGTTCATCAATGATGCTGCCCAAATATGTAAAGGTTTTTACATCTTCCGAATCAAATTGACTAACTATTGAATAATAAACAGTGGTACGTTCTGGTCATATTCTATCTATCAAATCATAATATGATCTTACTGCTAAGTGATAAACAATATGAAACCTTGATATTTCCTTGAAGAAACTTGAACTAGATTGCTAGGCGAAACGTTGAATTTATTTCAAATTCATCCGCTGAGATTTTATAAATGCATTATTCCTCTTTAGTATGAAGCTTAGTTCCATCATTCTTCCAATCATTATACATCTAAACATAATCCACGTGACTTCAAGTCTGGATAAGCAATCAATTAGTGTTTCATTCCAAGTACGTACTCATTATTGTGATGTTGTCTATACAAAACTGCCTAACTAGTTATTTCATATTTTATTCCTTACAAAATAGTCGTAATTAGTTCTTTGATAGAAATTCGTCCAAATCCTTCAAAATAATGTTTGTTTGTATTTTTTTAAAAGAAATGCTCTTACATTTCAAGTACCATGATTATACCACTTGAAATCATATAATTAAGACTTAACAGATGATCTCCCAAGAGAGGCTCATATACATATATATACATAGGTGTAGGTAAACTCAGTTAATGAATTTCAAGTGTTCTCACTTAAGTAGAATAAAATTTCGCAATAAAAAAATATACTGAAACAAGTATTTATTTGACACTTACATAGTGTTTGCTCCCTCTTATTATTAGATATACAGGAAACTTTCTTTCATATATAAGTAATAAATAGTACAACTACAATACTTTGATGATTGAAATTTTATGATTTAAAGATTGTTTTAATTACTCATCTTAGTCGGATGTTGTTGACGACATTGTGAGAAAGAAAAGTGAATGTACAACGCTTTAACCGGGTTAGTGAACTCAGACAGTTCATCTAGGGGAGTTGAAAAACCTTGATTCTAAACCAATGGTACACATGGGCTCCAGTATTTTGATGAAACAAATAGTGTATGAATCAATCGTTGGTTACCGGCTACCATGAGACTACGTCTCCTGACATTGCTTCACTGCCTTGTGGATTAGACTTTTTAGTCAAAGACTCCGAGTGCGGTCCCCTATGAAAATCACCTGCTTCAGTTTGGGCACCCGGTCAGTATCCAAGCCCAAACACAAATCAAGTGACCTGTGTAGTGCATGTGTATTTGGTATTCCTTTGTACCAATATTTATAGATTCAAATAAATAAATAATCTCAGGTGGGTTTTGTGGATATTATAGTAATTTCAGTGGTTAAGATCATGAGTCAATTGAAGCCAGAACACCATGGAAAACCTGGAAGCACACAAAACCCATCTGATATTATTCAACATATGCTCACTAGTGACTGGCTTCACGAGGTATATCCTGGAGTTCTAGTGAGAAGTAGTGACCAGTCGAGTTTATCCAGGTCTTTTGTGAGATAGTAACTCACTGAAGACAATGGTGGATGTGCCGCTCAATTTCATGGATTAGTTGAAGTTAGACATTAACGCCGTTGGATGCCGGTCGGCTCAGCGGTCTAGTGGTTAAGTGCTCGGGTGCCAGACCAGTAGGTCCTGTGTTCGAATCACGCAGGGGGCAAGGTCATGGATGCGCACTGTAGAAGAGTCCCACAATAGGACGAAACGTCCGTCCAATGCTCCCAGGTTTTCAATGGCGGTCTAGATTCAACTGACTCACGATCTTAACCATTGAAATAAACAATCTATAAAAATCTCATTTATTAATTAATATCAATGAATATTAATTATTTCATTCACCATATCTTTAATTAGTTTGTTCATTATTCATAATTAGGAATTTGTTTTTAATTTTTATCATTAATTAATCTTAATTAAACAATCACTGAAAACTTACAAAACTAGCAATTTCAACAATATCATTATCTGAAATATAAGCGAACTGACACCAGTATTCTATAGATAGTATAAATATAGAACTCCGAGAATTCTAGTGGGAAACCGTGACCAGTGGAGATAATCCGTGTCTGATGTGAGACAGTTACTAAATGAAGACAATAGAAGGTGGTGGTGCAATTTCGTGGATTGGTTGAAGTTAGACATTAAGACTATTGGATCCCGGCCGGCTCAGTTGTCTAGAGGTTAAGTGTTCGCGCGTGAGACGGAAGGCCCTGGGTTCGAATCCAGTGAGCAGGGTCGTGGATGCGCACTGCTGAAGAGTCCGACAACAGGAAGAAACGGCCGTCCAATGCTTCCAGGTTTTCCATGGTGGTCTAATACCTATCAGTTCATGATTTCAATCTAAAACTTAATAATCTTCACAACCATATACTGTTATATATATATATATATATATATATATATATATAAGTGTAGAGTTTGTAAATATTGATACATACTGAAATAATTATCTATAATTATAACATAAGTGCTTTGTGTTTGTATGATGAATCGGTTCCCTGATCTATGATCATATAAAGTCCAAGAATATATCGATAGCTAAGTTACCGTTTTTCATAACCTTTTTCGGTAGAAAACATGATGATACTAGAGTTGTTGTAGAGATTTACGTTGTCTAGTTTGTTGTCAAAATAACTGTAATGAAGAGGAATCTAAAAATGTGTACACATATGCACATATTTGAATGTGAAACGTTTATTTCTTCTGGTTAGCGTTTTTTTAGCGAGTTGGGATTGGGTCACTAACCCCATGCCCAACCCTCCTCCTTTATCCGGGCTTGGGACCGGCATTAGACCCTGGAGAGACTCCAGATGGAGTTGTGAAACGTTTATACATCGTTCAAATTATAACGTTTGTCATACATTCATACTCTTGATAATGAACGACAATTTGAATGAATGATTTAAACATTGACTGTGACTGAACTCTATGTAGTATTGACAGTAGACCGGTTATAAAATAACTAAAGTTTATAGATAAAATGTTCAATCTATTGTGGTCAGTTTGTATTTACAATGAAGCTTTTTAATGGGTACACTTAACCAAAATTTATATCTGAAACTAATAAAACACAACTTCACTATTAGTATGGTATATCTCATTGAGGAAGACAATAATTAATTAAGTTAAACCAGTGAAGGATCATTTTAATTATAAGCTGGGAATGCTAACATCACTAATTGATCATTACATAGATTACATCAATAGCTTCTAATCTAACTAGCATTGTTTGAAATTATGATCAATCGCCGTCGACTATCATAAGTATTTTCTTCCTAATCATAACTTTTCGGTTTAAAGTACTTAGAAAGAGACGAATTAGGTCATGGTACAACAACATTCTACCAAATTTGATAAAAGAGCATTAGAAATTGATTACTAGTGAAGGACTAGATAAACATGATATCTTTCTATACTTAGTGTTAAATGTTTTCACAGCTTAATTCACGAGTCGATCTAAACTAAATCACTATTGAAAACCTGAAAACACTAGAAGGCCGTTTCGTTTTAGTATGGGACGCCTCAGCAGTGCGCACTCACGATACCGAACGTGAGACATTAACATCGTTGGATGCCAGCTAATGTTATAAAGGTTATGAATTTGCACATGAAACCGAGGGTCATGGGTTCGGGTCCCATGTGCAAGATCATAGGTGCAGACTGCTGAAATGTTCTGTACTAGGACGAGCCGGTCGTCCCGTGATTACAGGTTTTCAATGATGATCTAACTTAGATTGACTCGTTAGTTCAACTGTTAAAATACTACAATCTCCACAAATTCCCATACTGTTTACTTTAAATATTTCAGTTACACAGGTTGTCAGTTGAGACAGATTTGAATAAACGGTAAAACGTTAGTCAATAATGCTTCATGATAAGGATTTAAACCTCGCAGAAAGCATCATTTCCCTTTAAGATTACAACGATACCATACTGACGAGTGGTAATGAACATCTAGTCCAACTTAGTTCATACCTTACTTACATCTAATACAAAATATCAATTCATTTAACACATAATATCAACCATTCACTTACCTATAATAAATAATAATTCCACAATAATATCACATATAATTAAATCTTTTTCATCACCTCCCTGAGAAAATGCTGCATTATATGGTACCATTATAGCAATATAAAATGTACATAATAATATCATCCAATCCCAAATAATTTTAAATAAACTATAATGTAATAATATAAATCTTGATGCTTGTACATCTTGAACTTTATATTCAGGTATTGTTTCTTTGCCAGAAATACGTTGAAACTGAGAAGAGAAACAAAAAAAAAGATGAAACACATTATCACTTTCAATGGAACTGTCAATGTTGAATTTACCTGAATCTATATTGAGAATGAGATCAAATATCGATTTGATTTCAATGTTTAATGTGTTATCCATTAAGCTATCGGGTTCAGATAGTTAGTTATTAGATTGTTTAGAGAGTATGATGATAACAAGAAAAGATTAGATTATGTAATTATTGATTTTATATCACTATCAAATAAGTTGATTTTAAAATGAGGATAAATTGACAATCTCGCGATAGCGAAATCGTGGATGTGCACTGTTGAGGAGTCTCACAGTAGGAAGAAACGGCCATCTAGTGCTTACAGGTTTTTCATGATGTTCTAGCTACAATTGACTCATGATCTCAACTATTGAAATTACTGTAATATCCACAAAGCCATTCTGATTTGAATCAGCATATGCACACTAGTGACTGGCTTCAACAGGTGTATCCTGGAGTTCTAGTGAGAAGTAGTGATCAGTCGAGTTTGACTGGGTGTGTTGTGCGATATTAGGTCACTGATTACAATGGTGGATGTGTCGCTTGATTTCATGGATTAGTTGAAGTTAGACATGTCGGGCGGTTCAGTGATCTAGTGGTTAAGCGTTCGCGCGCGAGACTGATAGGTTCTGGGTTGGAATCTGGCGAGGTGGGATCATGGATGTACACTACTGAGAAGTTCCACAATAGGACGATTTGGCCGTCCAGTGATTTCAGGTTTTCATGATGTTCTAGCTTCAATTTTACTCATGATTTCAACCATTGAAATTACTATAATATCTGACCTTTTTCAAAAGTGAAAATGTCATTTTACTTCGACTTATTTTCAGATCATATTTATTCGTAATGTTGAATAATACATCTAATATTCGATAGTGAATGAATATAGTTTATTCGCCAGTACTGATCTTAAACCTCGGAACACTCTATAAAAAGTTTTCTATACGTCACTTTAAATTTTGTTAGAATAGTGAGTTATTGTGTCTGTGAATAGCATTATTATTATTACTACCATTTAGTGAGTAAGAATGTGTCATTGGCTAATGTATTGCCGGAAAAGATGAATCCTACAATTTGATCTATGCTTAATTAGATGTTCATTCTAGAAAAATGTGTGTTTTTCTCTTAATTATTGTAAAGGTAATGGTAAATGCCAGTTGTTAATTATGTTCAAAAGATCAATTCTTTTCAAACGATTTCATGTCAACAATGAAGTTTTCAATTGCAACACTACAAATATACTTTGACAGTTTACATGACTACATGTTGGATTATGTGGTAATTATGAGAAATATAATAAAGGAAAAAAGAGACAGTCGTCATTCATATCCTCTTCGAAATCAGGTATAGCTAGTTAGAGACAGATATCTACATCAGACAATAAAAGATAGTTGCGCAATTTCGAGGGTTGATTGAAGTTAGATATTAACCTCGTTGAATGCCAATTCAGAGGTCTAGAGGTTAATCGAGACTGAAGGTCATGGGTTCGGATCCAGCGTGCGGTATCATGAATGAGCGTTATCGAGGAGTCGCATACTAGGTTGAAACAACCTTCTAGATATTCAATGGTGATCGAAAATTCATCGACTCATGATCTCAATCAAAAATACCCTAAAGAATTTGAAAAGTCCTTTTTTTAGTGTTATAAAGGCTGATGCATAACTTGTGAGAAAGGTTTTAAAAAAAGGGTTATCATTTTATCACTCTTATCTTTGAATTATCTTATGGTTATCATGATATTTTACATAAATGAACCGGTAAACATCTGTATAAATTCACAGCAAATGAATACAAGAAAGTCATATTATTATATGTGAATAATGTTAAGGATAAATCTAAATACCTAAATAAAATTGATATTCCTTGTGAAGATATCTAACAGTATTTATCAGGGTGCTAATCAGCGATATTAACATCAGTGTATATATATACACATTAGTAAGTATCAGACAACATTCAAATGGTCAATGCTTTACTAACTCACTTACATACGCCTGTTGATCCTAAGGAGAAGCATAAACCAACCACCAGCATTCTCCAACAAACTCTGTCCTGGACAATCCTTTCCAGTTATTCCCAGTTGTAATTCATCCTTTCCATATCTACTTCTAATTCTCGACACAGTGTATTCTTCGGCCTTCCTCTTTACCGTTTCCATTCAGGATTCCAAGTTAGTGCTTTCATCGTGATGTAGTTTGATGATTTCTGTAATGTATTTCACAACCACTTCCAACGTCTTTTCCTAAATTCCACTTCATTTGGAAATTATTTTGTTCTTTTCCACAGTATGCTGTTGCTGATGTTACTCGGCCTTTGGAAAATGAGTATTTTGTGTAGACAATTGTTTATAGATACTTGTATCATTCTGTTGATGGTTGCAGTAGTTTCTACGTTTCAGCTCCGTATAGTAGAACTGTCTTTACACTCGTATTAATGATGCTGTTGCAAGTGGTATCCGGTCAACGAACATTCAGTATCTTACATAGACAATTGTTTTTAAATATTCGTATTTTTTTAATGATGATTGCGGTAGTTCAGCTGGGTACAATAGAACTACCTTGACACTTGTAATGAAGACTTTGATATTGGCTTGTAGACATTTGGTTTTATTCCATATGTTCTTCATTTCCTATTGACCGCTTATTCGTTTTAAGCCACTGAAGCAAGACATAACTAATGGCTACTTGTGAACTGACGTAAATATCTTGGATTACTACTCTAATGACGATATTTACAAATGTTTACAGCAAATATCAATTACATTTGATATAGATATTCACCTTACTGTTAACTGTGATCTATAGTCCTCATATAGTGATACGACTAATTATAATGATATCTATCAATTTAAGCGTTGTGGAGATTGTTAAGTTTTTGATCGAGGTTATGAACCGATTGATGTTAGACCACCATTGAAAACCTGGAAGCACCGGACGGCCGTTTCGTCCTATTGTGGGACTCCTCAACAGTGCGCATCCACGATCCCACCCGTGTGATTCGAACCAAGGGTCTACAGTCTCGCGCGCAAACTCTTAACTTACTGGATCACTGAGCCGGTCGGCATCCAACGGTGTTCATGTCTAACCTCAACCGATCCATCTTCCATTGTACTGAGGCAGACACTTGTTTCTACCCGACATGGATTAGCTCTATATCTATAACGATATCATGCTTTTCACATAAAATACTACTAATAAATATTAATAGTATATTAATGAATAAATTTTTATCTTTCTTACTTTTTTAAATGGTAATTTATGCTTAGATTTTTGATCGAATCGTCCAGATAAATGATATAATACAGCCCGACTTCGTCTTCGTTGAAATTTATAAACAGTTGATGGATCATTAGTTAAATTACTTGATTCATCACTTGATGTATCCGTTGAATCAGATTCATGAACTATTAAACGTGTAGGATCCAATAATTTATTACCGTTATTATTATTATTATTATACCATTACTTTTATATTCTGTTATTAAAAGTGGACCACTTTCAACATCAATTGGATCTAATAGAATATTTTGTTTTGAACTATTGAGAACATCATTTATTACACTATTATTACTTGTTGATGAATATTTCGCTAGTGATTTACTCGACTCAATAGAAGTACGATCTGATAATTTCCTACTTACAATTGAAGTATTTCTATCTAATTTATTATGAGTAATGGTAGTTGTTGTTGGTAGTGATGGTGGTAATGGGGGTGGTATTGTTGTTGTATTCTTTGTAGCACTTAAATAATCTAATAATTTATTATTACGAAATCCAGTTGAACCAAGAACTGCTGCTGTAATTGTTGTTGCTAGTCCCATTGTTAATAAATTTGGTGTTTTATTTGATGGAGATGTTCCAGTTAAATGTTGAGCAGATAACATATATGGTACTTTTAAACTTGATTCCGGTATACTATAGTTGGCTTTATCTAGAATTTATAAATATAATAATTATAATAACAAATAAATGTATTACCAATAACTGTAAGCATTTAGGATAATAATATAGTACAGTGATACAATGAAAATGAATATTAAGTATCATGACAGTAATGCAATGAAATCCAGTTTTTTTTAAGGTTTCCAATGGCGGTCTAACATCCGTTAGTTCATGATCTCAATCAAAAATTTAATAATCTCCACAACCCTATACTGCTTATTAACACGTGCTCACTAGTGACTAGCTTCGTGAGAAAATTCTCGGAGTTCTAGTGAGAAGCTGTGACGAGTAGAGACAGGTATCTAGCTCAGTACAATGGAAGATCGTGGTGCAATTTCGTGAATTGGTTGATGTTATACTCTAATACCATTGGATGCCGGCCGGCTCAGCGGTCCAGTAGGTTAATCGTTTGCGCGGGAGACTGAAGGCCCTGGGTTTGAACCCTGCGGGCGGTATCGTGACTGCGCACTGTTGAGGAGTCCGACAATAAGACGAGTTGGCCTTCCATTGCTTCCAGGTTCCCGACAGTGGTCTAACATCAATCGGTTCATGATCTCAATCGAAATCTATTGTATTTAACCTGAGTGATCATCTCGTTTAGTTTCTAACATTCATGTTATTGGTTATCAGTTAATTTTTAAATAATGAATGTCTCTTAGACACATAGAAAATAATTTTGGTGTACGATAAACTCATTAATGACATATACAACTGTGACACTGAATAATTTTCTAGGAAACATGAATTCTATGATGATGTCAAAAACACTGTAATCACTTATGTCAAGTAACACAAAGGGTAAGTCGAAGGATTCGTGATGATCACTGCTATACATATAAGCTCTTCACGACATTAGAGCACAACTGAATTAATGATGATGGATAAATAAATTTAGATTTTGGCAATTTATATAATATTGGTAGATATCGAAAGAATAGTGATGCTTCTGTAGTTCTCATACTTGTTTAGATCGCCTTCCTTTAGTATCTTGATCAGGTGTTTTTCTTTCCAGTCTTTTGGTACTTATTCTTTATCCCAAATCTTGTTGAAGAGAATGTTGAATATCTTTGCAGTTACTGCTACGTTTGCTTTCAGTGTCTCTTCTGCAATGTTATCTAATCCCACTACTTCGCCGCTCTTGTTTTATTTCCTACTTACTATAAGCTTCATACATATATATATGAATAGAAACTGTTTTGTAGTTCTTCCTAGTCTTTAATATCCATTTAGTTAATTTGTAAACACAATATAAACTATAATTGTAAATTAATAGTAATCTATTCAAGTTGATATAAGTAGTATGGATGATTGAATATATCATTAAATTAAAAATTCTTTAAGATGGTTAATAATGATAGATGAGTGAAGTAAAATTAATTTCCTGATGTATATTTATGAAACATAGTTACCATTATCAGTGTATATGTTGGAGAAAAACACAACACACACGCACACACACACACAAAGACAGTTCCAATAGTCTTAGTTTCCAAACAGGTTGGAGGTAATCAAAAATTTAACTGATCTTGACGTACGTTTTTGTTTCTGTTTTTTTTTGGTGTTGTTGTTGCTTGGATGGATATAACAATTGATGACCATTTATAACAAACTGATCCACAAAATGTTTGCTTATGTAAAGATTCATTACTTTGATATATGTCAATAAAGTGAACAATGTAATGACATCAACTATAATATTTAGACTGGATGATAAAACAATAGTCATGGTTTTTTTAATTTTTAATTAATTGAAAAAATGTCAATATAGAGTTATGAAGATTGGTGATTTAGATTGATATCATGAACGAATCAATGTTAGAGTAATATTGAAAATCTAAAAACATTGGTTGAAAGTTTTGTCTAAGTATGATATAAGTATGTAAGCATCCACGATTCCTCATGTAGGACTCGAACACATAACCTACAGTTTCGAGTACGAATGATTAAACTCTAGATCACTGAGCTTGTATACAACGGTGTTAATGTTTAACTTTAATCAATCCACGATATTGTGCTATCGTCCACTATTGTCTTCTGTGACTAACTACCTTACAAAAGACACGGTTGAATTTCACTGGTCACGGTTTCTCACCAGAACTCCAGGAGATCCATCTTAGTGCTATCCGCTGTTGGATGACGGTTCAGTGGTCTAAAGGTTAGGTGTTCGTCGGTTCGAGTCCCACGTGAGGGATAGTGGATGTCCAATGCTGACAACTAACGCTTTCTGAACTCATAAATTTGTTTTAAACTATTGAATAGTAAACGTTTCACAACGATATGTAGACAAGTTGTGTCTTTGTATTTTGATAATTCTGAAAATGCTTCAAGGTAATTGATCTAACAACATAGTAAATTATCTATTCGAACTAGTTATATTGTGTAATAGCTGGAATAAAGATGTTTCAATCTGACTGATCAATTACCTAAAGTAGAGATATTTAATTTAGTCATTTCATATGAGTTAATCTTGCGTGATAATGTAATTAGTATAATTATTACATATTTTATCTAGGATAGTTCATATAACAATTTGATGGACGTTTAATGCCGAACTAAATCTGCATTATTCAAGAAAGTAAAACTTCCCGCGCGCGAACGCGAGATCGACAGGTTCTAGATTCTCATGAGGCGGGATCGTGGATGTGCAATGTTGAGGAGACCCACAGTAGGACGAAACGATCGCTCAGTGTTTCCACCGTTGAAAACTTGGAAGCACTAGACGGCCACTTCGTCTTATTGTGGGACTCCTTAACAGTGCGCATCCACGATCCCGACTCACGAGATTCCAACCCAGAACCTATCAGTCTCGCGCGCGAACGCTTAAACCATAGACCACTGAGCCGCTCGACATCCGATAGTGTTATTGTTTAATTTCAACTAATCCATGAAATTGAGCAACACATCCACCATTGTTATCAGTAAGCTGAGATCTCGCAAGAGACCTAGTTGAACTCGACTGATCACTACTTCTCACTAGAACTCCAGGATATACCTGTTGAAGTCAGTCACTAGTGAGCATATGTTGGTTAGTATCAGAAGGTTATTTTATGAATATTATAGTAATTTCAATAGATGAGTTCATGAATCAATTGAATCTAGACCACCATGGAAAACCTGTATGCACTGGATGACCGTTTCTTCCCACTGTGGGACTCCTCAGCATTGCACATTCATGCTAGGACTAAATGGCTGTCCAGTGCTTCAAGGTTTTTCATGTTGGTCTAGCTTCAGCTGATTCATGATCTCAACCATCAAAATTACTATAATATCCACAAAACCCCTCTTTGATTATGAATTGATTGATTGATTGATCAGAAACTATTAAAAAAATAATAAGTTGAATCTAAGTGAATAAACATAAGGTAATTCGTTTCACTTAGAACTATGAATATCACTTAAAATAAGTATAATATTATAGCTTGATGTTGTAGAAAGTTGTTGCGGGATGTGTAGTTCATCTTGAGTAAGTGAAGATTGGATGTGAGTAGAAAATTATGAATCCTGAGTTTGAAAAAGATAACCAGTTTTGTTCTTGACAGGTCATCTTACATTAAATAAGTCGATAAAAATTACCGCTTTTAATATTATTTGTTAGATATATTTTAAACAATTCATTTAGTGGGATTATTTACCTCTACGGTTACTAGATTATAAAGACTTTAGAATTTCAGGAGAAGCATGGAATACATTGAATAGCTTGCATGCAATTAGATGATTTAGATTTCACAGATGACCTAGCTCTTCTATGCCGTATACATCAACAAATGCAGGTCAACACAAACAGTGTAGCAGAAGTCTCTGAATCAGTAGGTCTCAATATGGAGAACATTATCCCGGTTACAAATATTGTAGAAATCCTGGAAAAGGTGGAAAGTTTCACTTACCTGGACCGCAGTAACTATTAACAAGAAGAGTTTGAAACACTTATTATGGCAAAGGTTAGAAAGGCAAGGGCCGCATTTCTACGAGTGAAAAATATATGGAATTCAAAACAACTGTCTGCAGGCCAATATCAAAATCATCATCTTTGATAAGAGTGTCAAGACAGTCCTACTATGCGGAGCTGAAACGTAGAAACTACTGCAACCATCAACAAAATGGTACAAGTATTTGTAAACAATTGTTTATGTACGATACTGAATGTCCGTTGACCGGATATAATCAGCAATAGCCTACTATGTAAGAGAACAAACTAATTTCCAACTGAAGAAGAAATTAGGAAAAGACATTGGAAGTGGATAGGATATTGATTAAGGTAATCATCAAACTGCATCACGATGAAAGCACTAACTTGGAATCCTGAACGGAAATGGAAATGTGGATGGCCAAAGAACACACTGTGTTGAGAATTGGAAGTAGATATGAAAAGCATGAATTGCAACTGGGAATAACTTGAAAGGATTGTCTAAGACATAGTTTGATGGAGAATGCTGGTGATTGTTCTATGCTCTATTACGATGTGTAACAGGAATATGTAAGTTTTGGATTGTTGTCAATCTACGTTTGTTAAATCGTTCCTTTATTCAGACGGGAGACAATTAATTTCCTCTTAAAATCAAATTAATTGAATAATACCTAAAAGGACTCAACTTAATTATACGAATAGTCTCATATCATACTCAAGTTATAATGCTGACTGACTACTTACTGGTAAGCAATGTCCTGTTTGTCCAGTACATGAACACGATGTCAAGTAAATTAATCCAAATTCAACTTCGTCAATAAGATCTGAACAACACTAAGAACTAGATAAGAATGAGATTAGCTATAAATAACTGGTTGATTTGCTGCACATTACATTAGCTCGACCGCTATCTAAATAATCATTCTAATAATTATCAGTTGTTTATTGTTGAATAATTTATTTCATTATTAATTCATTCAGTCATGTATGATTTTGACCTCTCATCATTAGACCGTCTACTATATCTAGCCCTTAAATTTCCTGGCACGGTCGTGAGCGGGGATAGTCAGCTCTCCTTCTCAAAATGTCCTCACATGGATAAATGCATACAAACACTGACAAGGAAGCCCTACTCTCTGCATTTTTGCCGAAAGGGGTGTTGTTCACGAAATTGAGAGGACGAAAAGCGAAAATCCGACGCTTTAACCGGGTTCGTGGACACGTAAAGTCCACCTAGGGGAATTTTAAAACCTTGATTCCAAACCGGTGGTGCACATGAGCTCCAGTATCCTGAAATAAAAACAGGAGTGTGAACCAATCGTTGGTTATCGGCTACCATGGGACTACATCTCTTGACATTGTTCCATTGCCTTGTGGATTAGACCTTTTGGTCAAAAGCTGTGGGTGTGACCCGCTAAGAAAATCACCTGCCTTCGTCTAGGCACCCGGGTAGTATCCCAACCCTCATACAAATTGAATGAATTATGTGACGTATATCTATTTGATGCATCTTTGTACGAATGTTAATGTGAGATATGTGAATATCAGAAATAGAAGAAAATTATGATAAGAAAAGTTTTCTATTATTGAAGAAAAGAAAAACAGAAAAGAATTTCAATCAATCAAACTACTTTTTTTGTTTACAAATAGTAATTACATTAACTTCATTTAGTGTTTGTTATTGATAATCTCAATTTGTATTCTTTATTGTTATCATTAAAAGTCAATAGAACTTTATGTATCCCATTTATATTTTGAAGAATATTTGGTATATAAAACTTTATTAAATTCACTGAATTAATATAACTTCATAAAAAGATGAAGGATATTCATTAATATTTTATTGGTAAGTCATAAATGTTATGTTATGTAATCGTGGATGTACACTGATGAGGAATCCCACAGTGGGACGAAACGGCCGTTTGAGTGCTTCCACGTTTTCCATGATGTTCTAGCCTCAATTGACTCATGATCTCAATACATAAACACTCTCTGACGTTAAATCAACATATGCACGCTAGTGACTGGCTTCAACAGGTATATCCTGGAGTTCTAGTGAGAAGCAGTGATCAGTTGAGTTCAACTGGGTTTTTGTGAGATCTCAGCTCACTAATAATAATGGTGGATGTGTTGTTCAATTTCATGGATTAGTTGAAATTAGATATTAACACTGTTGGATGTCGAGCGGCTCAATGGTCTATGGTTTAAGCGTTTGCGTTCGAGAATAATAGGTCCTGGATTGGAACCTCGCGAGGCGGAGTCGTGGGTTGCGTACTGCTGAAGAGTTGCATACTAAGACAAAACGGCCGTTCAGGGATTCCAGGTTTTTCATCGTGGCCTACCTTCAATCGACTTGTGATCTCGACTATTGAAATTACTATAGTATTCACAAAAACCCCTTCTGATATATACTATTGTCTATACTTGTTTACAATGTTAGTTTAATTTGAGAACTCACTACAATAAATGTTGTAAGATTGGAAACAATCAAGGGATGTATTTTACTCCCGTTTTAAAAGTTATCAAAGAATTTAGTAATTGAATTCATCAGTCAGTTGAAACTAGACCATCATGGAAAATCTGGAAAAACACTGAATAGCCGTTTCGTTCTAGTATGGGACTCCTCAGCAGTACATCATGTTCATTCCTTTACAGCTTGTTTCTTTGTATCATGAATTCAATTATTAAATTATTAAAATCTTCACAAAGTTACCCTTTCGGATTATAAATGAATGTTATTTCGAAAAGTCGACAAGTAGTTTTTTTGTGTGTAGAATATCTTCACTTAATGGATCAGATATTAGTTCTGATTGGTAACCAAATTTTATCATGATGCAATGTGTATTATTACTTTAAAACTTTATAGAAACATTACTATACTACTGATTTGGATGGGATGATGACAAGAAATTTGATAACTATTTAGATAGTAAAGAGTAGTAGATAGATACTCAAAACAATCAATTCATTATTCAGTATTCATTAATATTATGTATTATTTTCATTGGTTATTCACGTTTACTTATTATTACATAGTAGTAGATTAACTACATCAAGTCACAGTTCCTATAAAAAGTAAGATACACCTAGATCACTAAATATAGACTTAGAGATATTTGTTTTACAAGCCAGTTGACACGTATCTAATGTTAATATCGAAAACAATTTGATTAATTACATAATTTAATTTGACGTACCATTTGAATTTCAGTAATTTACTTTGAAAGTAGTCATTAAGAGCTAATGGTAAACAGTAGTTGAAATCATGAGTCAGTTGAAGCTAGACCACTATTGAAAACCTGGAAGCACTGGACGACCGATTCGTCCTAGTATGGGACTCCTCAGCTGTGCGCATCCACGATCCCGCACCACGCGGGGCTCGGACCCAGGACCTACTGGCTTCGCGCGCGAGCACTTAACCACTAGACCACTGAGCCGGCATCCAGGGGTGTTAATGTCTAACTTCAACCAATCCACGAAGTTGCGCCAGCGTACACCATCGTGGATGCGCACTGCTGAGGAGTCCCATACCAGGACGAAACGGCCGTCCAGTGCTTCCAGGTTTTCAATGGTGGTCTAGCTTCAACTGACTAATGATTTCAATCAGTGAATTTTCTAAAACTCTCCACAAAACCCATTCTGGTAAACAGTAGTATTGTAATGAACGAGAACACAGATGACAACATCTGATTGCATCTCTATATAAAGTTAAAGAGTCTGTTGGTAAAATGAGAAACCATAAGTTCGATAATTCATTTATAAATCCTCTATCTGTTGTCTCAAACTTCATCGTTCCTTCATTCCCATAACAATTATTCTCTATTCCCGTTCTCTTCAATTCCATCTTCCCAACCTTCTGCTAATGGTGTTAAATGCAACGTATGTTGACATAAGTAGCATAAACCACAGTATGAATATTTGTGATTATTGAATTGCCTCCAAATACTATGGTACAGCCAAGGGTGGGTAGAGTTTCACTCTCTCTCTCTCTCCCTCGAAATTCTCTCACATAGCCACGCATATAAATCCTCTGGCAGAGTTCTAATCACTTCCTCCTCTCAGTAGAGGTGTTGTTTACGAAATTGAGAGGACGAAAAGTGGATGTCCGGTGTTTTAACCGGGTTTGTAGGTACAAAGGATCCACATATGGGGGAATTGGAAAATGCTGATTTCAAACCAATGGTGCATATGGGCTCCAGTATCCTGAAGGAACAAATCGCATAGGAATCAACTATCGGTCACCGGTTACCATGAGACTACATCTCTTGATGTTGCTCCACTGCCTTGTGGATCAGACCTTCAGGTCGATGGCTCTGGTTGTGGCCTCCTAAGAAAACCATGTATTTCGGTTTAGCCACCCATGCAGTATCACAGTCCACACACAAATCCAGTGACTTGTGTGGCGCATATGTATTCGATACCCTTTTGTACCAATATTTATATGTTCAAACAAATGAATAATAATGATAATCACCATAATATCACTATAATAATCATTCTTGAGTGAAATGAAGTTATAAATGATACTGATATTCACAATAGGCTTTAATTGGTATCCGTAGCTGTTGTAAAATAACGCACACACACACACGTACATTCCATTCTTCAACTGATTGGATAGGTTGAAGTTAGATATTAACACCGTTGGATACCACAATTGATTGATCACTGGGTGGTGATCAATGTCATGCTTGTCTAGTCCTTATTAATGCAGATCGAATGCTATCGATCATGTTGCAATGTGGCCACCAGTCTAGGTGACTCGACACTGCTGGGACCGTTGGATACCGGTTAAGTGGTCTAGTTGGCTAAGAGCCTGACGCGAAGCTGATAGGTCCTGGGTTGGAATCTCATGGGGTGCGGGATCATGGATGCGCATTGTTGAAGGCTCCCATACTAGGACGAAACGGCCATCCAATACTTCCATGTTCTCCATGGTGTTCTAGCTTCAATTGACTCATGATTTCAATCAGTGAAATTTCTAAAATCTCCACAAAACTCATTCTGATAACTTTTGTACAACTTATTATGAAATAAATTATCAAATTAAAAGAATCCTAATAGAAAAGTACATTTTCCCCTATCAACAATATATATACACTTACTTCGTCCATGTCGATCAGGTGATAACTCTTTATGAGATACAAGAAATAGAACAACTTGTGATTTGTCATTTTTAATTGGTACAATATCCAATAAACAAAGAAATGGTTCATCTTTAAAATAAAATTAAAAAGAAAAACAATTATATTAGGATATAATAATAATAATCATCAATTTGATTGTAAATATCATAGATTGTTCTCATTACTCATAGTTTTTTTTGTGAGGACAGTTCATAGGTGAACTTAAGGAAGCTCTAAGAAGTTCAGAAAGTGACGAAGATATTCCAGAATCCCTAAGTGAAGCTTTCTTATTGTACAAATGCTAATAACCACCTGTACGTGGATTAGAGGACAATAATGATGATTTCATTTTCACTAAAAATTACAAATACTTGACAGTTTTATATCATATTGGACACTGTTTGGAAGAGCATTTGTTTCACATGTCTTCTGTTTTCACATTTGCTACTTGAGAGTGTTCTAGCATTCAAGTGTTAAATCATAGGCGGTATATAAAGAATATAAACTATAGATATAACAGTTTAAAATTACGTTTTTATTTGTTCTAGTATGAGATTCCTTAGCTGTGTATCCACGATCCCTAATGCGGAACTCGCGTGAGAACACTTAACTTCTAGATCACTGAGCCGTCATAGTGTTAACGTCTAAGTGTAATAAATCCACGACATGATATTTCGCATTCATCTGCAACACTGAAGTAACATTTTATAATCTATCTGTGAGACTGAACCTAAAATATTTTATTGCTTATCATTCTAATGATATGAGGATATAATAGAACAGAAGTGTATGTAGTATGAAAATTCAACCCCATCTAATGTATTTATTGATTTGTCCACTCTCTTTATAACCCGAACCGAATTTGATTATATACACTAATTATCGTAATGAAACTATTTATTTTCATATTACCTTCTGTGAGGTGCTGAATTTGAGTCGGAAGTTAGTTAGCGACTCGTTACTTTGAAACCTATTTAAACACATAAACATTGGTACAAGAAGGGACTAAATAGATATGAACCACATAAATCATTCGATTTGTGTGACGGCTGGAATACTGCCCAGGTGCCCAGACTGAAAAGGTGCTTTTTGTGGGGGGTCACACCCGGAGCCTTCGACTTAAAAGTTTAGTCCACAACGTAGTGGAGCAACATCAAGAGATGTAATCTCATGGTAACTGGTGACCAATAGTTGGTTCCTATGCCATTTGTTCCTTCAGGATACTGGAGCCCATATGCACCATTGGTTTGAAATCAGCGTTTTCCAATTCCCCCATATGTGGATCCTCTGTAAGTACAAACTCGTTTAAAACACCGGATATCCACTTTTCGTCCTCTCAATTTCGTAAATACCACCTTTGTTGCAAGAGTGCAGTGAGCAGGAATTTTTCTGTCAGTAGTTATATGCACGTGGACATGTGTGAGAATTTGGAGAGGAGAAGCTAATTCTCAACACTCTCGGCCGTACTAGGGCATTTGTCTCTTTATACAATTTATAAAGAATAGTGAGAAAAACTATTTGATCGGCAAGAGACAACTTGATAATCGATATAAGTTACTTAGAAAATTAAAATTACGCGCGAAATGTGTTAAGACTGAAATTAGTGAATTGAAAAATACATGAAGATGATCATTTCAAGTCAGTGATGTAAATTTGACATCCTATAAATGTTTCAATTAAAACTAGATGATTTAATAGTGTAATATTTGTATATACAGTGGAAGGTCTTTGGATTTATCTTTTGTAAATTTACAGTTAAGATATGATGAGAGTTATGAAGTCAGTATGGCAAGATTAATTGATGATTCTTGACTGTGAATAGTTATTTATTTGACTGCATACATTGATAAACTAGAACTTCATTTTTCAAATAGACTAAATAAACCTAAATCCTGATAAGTAGAAAAACTATACTTCTGATGTTTCGTAACTTAAAGTAAGCCTCTTCTTCAGAATAACTATCGAGTTCAAACCTTGATAATAATATCTACAAACCTATTCGATGATGATAGAACCATTTTTAAATAAATAGTATATTCATAAATTTTAAATAGAAGAAATACATTTGAAGATAGAATATTTCACAAGTGTAACTTATGAACCTAAGGAACCTTTTAAATTATTTCAACGTTCAAACTGACCGATTCACAGAAATAAACATGACCAAAATAATTCCTAACAGCATACGGGATTTGTAATGATTAATCAGTTTATAATTTTTATCACTGGGTGGTGATCAATGTCATGCGTGTCAAGTCCTAATTTAGTGCAGAACGAATGCTATCGATTATATTGCAATGTGGCCACCAGTCTAGGTAACTCGACACTGCGGGCACTATATATTGAGACTAGATGTTGGTTGGCGGTAGTCGACAGGAAACCCTGACGACTCGGGTTTCGTGCTACTTGGCACTCGTCAACAAGGTGTATCTGTAATCTTGTGGGAACTGGTGCTCCCTGACGAATTCAATCTTGTGTCACCCAGCTTCATAGTCAGAGACGTTATCACATGAGATTGGTCACCACCCAGTGATCAATCAATTGTGATTGCATCTTAGTCCTACAGGAGGTCGGTCACGGCTCGCATAGCTCAGTGATAATGTCTCTAACTGTGTAGCTGAGTGACACGGAATCAAATCCGCCAGGGTGCACCAGTTCCCACAAGATTACAGGTACACCTTGTTGACGAGTGCCAAGTAGCACGAAACGCGTGTCCAGGGTTTCCTGTCGAATACCTCCAACCAACATCTAATCTCAATAGATTAACTATAGTTAGACAATCATCAAATAGCAGTAAGTAAAAGACGATTATTTACTGCTGGAATAAGAGCCTTCAGCATAAATCATTGATGACATTGCAAGATATTAAATCCAGAAGTGTCAAGCTTAGCAATAAGTACAATATCTTTTAACTGGTGGACTAATATCCATTGGTTCATGTTAATCAGCTGTCAGTCCTCGATACTATCCCTAATGAAACATGTATCACTGATTAAGAGTATACTACAAGAACTAGAAATGTAATTTCAACATCATTATGGTCTTCCTAATACTGTTGTACTATTGAATGCAGAATGTAGTTGTTTGTAAGAACCATCAAAAATATAACATCTAATGGTACATACTGGAGGATTGAAAAACAGAACATATCTAAATAAACATTCAACTTTATTAAATGATTTGCAGTAGTTCAATATTGGTAATTTTCGGATCCGTTGGCCAGACACTATTAGCAACAACCAACTGTGGGAAAGAACAAACCAGATCCCAGCAAAGGAAGTAATCAGGAAGAAGCGCTGGATGTGGATAGGACACACATTGAGGAAAGCACCCAACTGTGTCACAAGACAAGCACTCGCATGGAATCCTCAAGGCCAAAGGAGAAGAGGAAGACCAAAGAACACATTACGCCGGGAAATGGAGTTAGACATGAGAAAAATGAACAAGAATTAGATGGAACTAGATAAGGAGGCCCAGGACAGAATGTGTTGGAGAGTGATTGTTGGCAGCCTATGCTCCATTGGGAGTAACAGGCGTAAGTAAGTAAGTAATATTGGTAATTATATATTAAAAACAAATAAGGTGTATTTTAAACAGTTGAGATCATGAGTCAGTTGAAGTTAGACTACCATGGAAAACCTGGAAACACTGGACGGCCGTTTCGTCCTGACTGGCTTCAAGATATATATCCTGGAGTTCTAGTGAGAAGTAGTAACTCACTGACGACAATGGTGGATATGTCGCTCAATTTCGTGGATTAGTTGAAGCTAAACATCAACACCATTGGATACCGGCTCAGTGGTCTAATTGGTTAAGCGCCGAGCGCGAGACTGATAGTTGCTGGTTTCGAATCCCGCGAAGCAGGGTCGTATATGCGCACTGTTAAGGAGTCCCACAATAGGACGAGTTGGCCTCCCAGTGCTTCCAGGTTTCCAACGGTGTTCTAACATCAATCAGTTCATGATCTCAATCAAAAAACAATACTTTGATGTGATATGCATTGACTATTGCCTACTATTATTCATTTGTACTAATTTAGTTTAAAGTCTATTTCTATATTCCCACTTGTTTTTCTTTTTTTCCTTCAGTTATCATCTAATATTCAACGACTAATCATTAAATACCTTTAAAATTTATGTATATATAATGGAATCTATTCCCATTTGAAATTATTGTAATATTTTAAACATTGAATAAAATCATGACTTGGCAACTATTTTGATTTATTTATTTTTTTTGATGATAAGGGGACACATTTGTTCCTTATTGAAAATATTGATTTCCGCGGTTATTTGAAAATGTTTCTATTTTTCTTTTTTTTTTAATGACATAGCAACCGACTTAATGTTTCATGTTTGAAATTTTCGCTTTAGTGAGTTTTTTTTCTTTTTTTAATTTTTTTTTAAAAATTTTGAATCTTCTATTCGTTGACACTAAAGACCAATGAATGTTGGTTTGATTTATTTAAAGTTCATTATTAGCATAACAACAGTTTGTTTGTTTCTTTTTTAGTTTAGTAAGGAATAACATATGTTCATATCACGTTTACAATATTTTGTCACTGGTATACATAATATGTTATATATATATATATAGAGAGGTAACAAATTCTTTAGTTATACTCAATTGGTGTTGTTTATTTATATCTTCCTAATGTTATTTAGGATTGCCATTGATCATCAGTCTTTTATTGGCATATGTGTATCCTGTGCTGATTGCCTCGATAGTGTCTGAAATCACAAGCTTTATAAGTAAAGATGGAAAGTGGTTAACAGTGGAATACAGGATATGCATTTCGTCTTATTTGGAACTTGTCAGCTAGATTTACCTGCATCTATATAGATGTTCACTCTGGGACTCGAACCCAGTATCATTCGCTTCAAATGACATCACGGTATCCACTTAGCTATTAAATCCTGATGGACATTTTCTTGTGCAATGGGGTGAAGCTATATTCGCTTCGTATTATTTACTTGTATCTTCCCATTGTTATTTAGGATAGAGTAATCAACAACAAAGAAAAAATAGTCAGTCAGTCAGCTACAACGTAGGACTAGGCACATATATGCATTGGTTCAAGTTTCCACACT